CTTTATAGTAAGTAGGATATATATATATATATATATATATATATATATATGCTTTTGCTTCCTGATGTCTGGTAAAAATAAAACGACCCCGGAGGGGTGGAAGGCTTGGTTGGCCTAGGCGGATATCGGTCCAGGATTCGAACCTGTGACCATGAGTGTGTGAAAGGCGCCACTTGCACAAGCAAGTTAGAGTCCGTTCCTTAGAATAGATTAAACTCGAAGAGTAACGGTTTAATGGTGAGAGCGGTGTACTCTAAGCAACGAGCAATGACTGGCGAGAGTGTCCTCTAGCAAGTATTGACTAAGAATTTTCAAAAATGCTTCTTTAACTTTGCATTTTTACGAAAAGAAAAGCGAAATATTCCGTTTATCAAGTATGAGAACGGCATTCCGTTGATTGGTAGCCATTCTTGAAGTTTGCAAAAATATCAACTTATGCAGAAGAGTTGCACATGTTTAAATATGCACACCTTATAACCCTTCTTTTTGTATTCCTCTAAGATATATGGATACTCGTCCAACCATTCGTTGCAAACCTCCGTATTGTTCCAATCGGGTTCCTCCGGTGGTCGTCCAACACGGTCTACTTTTTCTACAGATTTACCTGAATGTTAAGTTATTCATGCTAAAAAAACTCGCTTCAATAAATAATGTAAACTTGACAGAATACCGAAAAGCAGAGGAAAGCCGTTTGGCCTACTGTTATCCCCAACTTTATTCAGAAAGTCCATTTGAACTGCTCCTAGGTGGTTCTTCAAGAACCGCAGAGTCTTTGGTAAAGATCTGTAAAAGTATGTCGTCATCCAAACTCCAGAAGAGAAGGGATCGTTTAAAATGAGAACAAAACAAGTTGCATGAAACATAACGATTCCACCAATAATTTTTTATATGACCTCGATCATGAGATAGGTGAAGACTGCTTGATCGATTTTGAACCTACAATGTATGTGCACGCTAAGAACATTTGAAAAGTTACGAAAAACCCGGATTGCGCTCCCTTCCTTTTTCTTCATAACCAGCTTCTTCTTTTTAGATGTGCATGGTTCAGTGTACTTGTCAAGTTCCAGAAAATGGTGAAGAGCAAACCTGATGAATCCACTCTTTCACTCGTCGTTCCTTCGAAGTACCTTCGGCTACGCAATCAACTGCTAGGTCCGCTATAATTGGAACCAAACCCTAATGGCATTTAATCAAAGTGTCAGGTTTATCGACAATTCTTGTGGGGTTTCACTTTTCTTCTTTGTTTTTAAATCGGCAGAAAATGAGGACCAATGAACAATATTACCATCACCATTGTTAGTCACCATTAAGGGTCAACCCATGGAACAAGTCTGCGATCAATTTTTTTCTCAGAACTGCTGAGACTCTGAAGAAGCCGGCCCGACCTACGCCATCAAACTTTGTGAAACTACAGCCATGAAAGCCTTAGGGGGCGGAACAAGTGATCAGTAATTCTTGAAGTATCCCTAGTCAAGTAAGAATATTAAAAGCGAATTATGCATTTTATGATGACAACCATAACGGCACTATTTGGAAACACTTCATCTTTCTTGCCAAAGACATGAATGCAACCCATTCATTACTTGTATAATTGGTTTTTCAGTTCCGAAATGTGCTTATTTACAGGAGACCATGATTGCATCGATTCTATGGTCACAGCCATGTGGTATCTTTCCTCTCGCTGACTTAAAACAACACTCAAACTATCTGCTTTCGAATCCCTAAAAATCACGGGTAGAGCAATAAGTGCAACATGTCCCCACTTACACAATCGGGCTATAAACCGTAACCGTTAACTCGAAGTGGTTCAAAGAAAAGGGAGAACAAATCACCTTTTAACCATAAATGTTGAAGTCGAATCGATCACTATCATGTAAACGTTTGGCAGCGAATTCATTTGACTTTCCGATCTATGAATAAAAAGTATAGCTTAAGAGGACGAAAACTGTACCTACGGGAACCCCTTGTTCTCATGCGATGAATGAGACTTTGAACTCACGTTTCGTTCTCATAGATTTGCATGTGAAGATAATGTTCAGTCTCGTTGTAGCCCTCTCTGTTGCACTCTGTCTCAATGATATCACATTCGAACGAGCTGTTTGTAGGGAGCTCTCGGAAATCTCCTTCGATTATGTTGCTGTCCTTGTTTGGATACAAACACATGAAACACTTTCTTCTTGAAAAAATGCTGAGAAAACAAAACTTTTGTTGGTCGAGTATTAATCGAGCAACAGCCTTTTATTCAAAAATAATTTGCTACTACTCTAGTTGTTGTTGTGTCGATTTGAACTGACCACGACGTTATTCCCCACCTCGTCTGTCTGTAGTGCGTCTTCCGGGTGCAGAGAAGTAACATAAAGCTAGTATTGAGATGAGCACAGCGCAAGGCTTTCATGACACTACTCCGTCAACGGGACGAATGGAAGTCATCTTGGTCTTATAGTTGACGTAGCTTCGGCGGGTTTTGCGAATGCTCTCCCCAGCCTCGACGACATCAGCCGGAACTTCGGCTCTTCTCTCTTTCAGAGCTTCCTTTATCGCTTCTCTGCACAGCTTCGCTCGTTTGGGCGTTAGCTGGTTATGGACTGCAGCTCGCGCAGTTCAACGTTGACATATCAGCTCGAGTGTCTTCGAGGAGAAACGTTTCTAGGCATCTTTGTGACTCTTCGCTTTCCTACCGTTATCGTGAAGATATAAGACTAGCCGGTCGTACCCCTCATCAGTGTTGTCGCTGATGTAATCATTCCACTAACTCGCAATCGAAGTGATCCAATTTGACACAAACCTTGGAGCTTCGTTTCCTGATTCTCGCAACTCTTTCTCTCTCGACACAGTGAAAATCGAAATTTAGCGCGGAGTAGGTGATGGCCCAATTCCGTGTAGAACTCCGAACAACAGCGACATTAGTCAGGCAAAATCTTCAGTTGAAGATGTTCGACAGGATAGTCATTGACTATTACGGTCCTTTTTAGGCTCTAACCTAGAAAGCGACTCCGACGATGGTTAACTTGGCAAAACATTAATGCAGAACTTGTAAAGGGTTTGATAATACAGCTCAATGACTGAGAAGACCTTCTCATACTATTATATCAATACTATACTAACAAACACTAACGACCTCACTAATCTTTCAACACTAAACACTGGTCGTATTGCATTGAAGCTTCCGAATAGAACCGCAAATCCGGACTATTTTTGAATTCGTATGTTTAAGGGGACATGATACTCGCCTAAATCAGATCTGCAGCGGATGTTCTGAGTCTGCGGTGAGACACCAGCTTAGGTAGTAAGCAAAACGTCTTCATACCAATTAGTGGTGGTCCATTCCATTATATGGCATGCATTATCTTAGAAAAATGGACCGAATGACCATGCTCAGTGGAGCAAACACAAGTACTGTAGGTGAAAATCTGTCTCGATGGACACCCATGTTGTCTCACACTATTTTTCGGAGGATAGAGGCCTCCATCCATATGTTCCTCGTACGGTGGAGGAAATCTAGGAGCCCATCACGTATATTCTTGATAAGCGCTCGAGAAGACAAACGATTGTGGAACATAATTTGTAAATGAGGACTGTATGAATTGTCACCTGTGTACCATGTATATATGGTTACAAAGGCATTCCACAGCGATCTAATGGGGCTCATCATCGAAGGGCTTGGTCCAAGCCCAATGGAAACACTGTAAAGCTCTTCGCCTGCACTATTTGTGAAAACGATTTTTTTGTATTGTCATCAATGGACCGAACCAAAACTAATACATTTGCCAGGTTGCGACAAATCGTGGAAAATTGACAAAAAAAATGCGGAGTCACTTCGAATATTCTCAAAAATGGGGGAAGGGTGTCATCGTATGCTAGATCATCCGACTGTAAAGTGTGAATGATGAGCATCATTATGTATGTTAATAAATGGTATTAAATGACAGTCTTCTCGGTCTCTGTGCATAACTCAAGGCAAATATTTCGAGCATTCACCTTGCCTTACATGAAGTTTCATTTGTCAATACTTCGATATAACCATTTCTGAGAACAGTCCATGGCTTATACACTCGGCAACCCTGAAATCGGTTCTTCCACGAAAACAACACTATTTTGAATTCTGCTTTTCTGCTTATTAGCTGGAGCACCTGGCGGTAGATAGAACCAAATAAGACAAAAAATTATGCTGTTATTGCCCCCTATGTTCAGAAATCACTTCAATAAGAGAGGCTATGTGGAGAGGTTGAGAAAGCTAGTTCAAACCATTTAGATTTGAAGTTCCGGATTATTTGCAATGCTAATGAAATGCAACCACACGCTTGACCCTTCATTCTAGAACATGATTGGAAGCGGACCTAACTGTCGATTCTACCACATCTATTATGGAAACTGACTCAACCAGTGCAGCACCAGTAAGCAAGAGATGTTGACATAGCGGTCAACTTTTACTATTGCTATCAATGCTAACCAATACCAGATCACCTCCGTTCCCACACCGATTTGCTGAAAATTCATACGTGCATACATACATACATACATACATACATACATACATACATACATACATACATACATACATTGATGGTAAAAGAATGAAGTTTCAGGCGCTAATCAGTCCCGACCGAGGAATGCGCCCCCGCACTCGACTTCAATTTAGAATCCTAGTGGCGTAATGGGTGCGTATTTGGCCTATACATACAATGACGTGGCCAGCCGATGCACAAGTCAGTACTTCTAAGCTCCCAGACGAGCCTGTTACCAATTCCCCTGAGGGACGGAAGTATTGGTTGGCCTAGGCGTACATCGATTCGGGATTCGAACCTGTGACTGTGTGAAGTGCGCCCACATGCCACTACACCCCCTCCGCCTTACATACATGTATACATTCATATACGCATGCATGTATACATACACACATATGTATGTATATACATACAACTCGATGTAATTTCTATTCATTAATTCTTCCCTTTTAATATTAATAACTTGTTGATGACTGTTGAACCTGACCAAGAAGAGGGTGGTAAATGATATGGGTATCTTCACTGCGTATGTATGCGTATGTATATGTATATGTATATGTATATGTATACGTATATATGAGCAGCGGATTTTTGGCAACTCTATAGGAGATTCAGGATGCAAACGGATTCTAGATGAATGATGATACCAATGCGACCTTATAAGAAAACTTAATGGATTGAATAATGAAGTGCTGAAGTCACTAGATCTCTCTATTTTCATATTGATAGCAGAGCCTTGGCTACTTCAATCTGGAATGTAGGGTGTGACTGAGTGGCTATCACTCGATGAGGGAAGGGAAGTATGTAATAGCTGACAAGTGATCTCAGGGCGCAGGATCAACTCAGCTCCCTACTCTTTTCGTATTCAGTAGCCTTCCTACTATTCGATTCGACCACAACACATCAAGGATTTCTCTCATTGAGGAATCGCGTTTCTTTTGATTCCACTACTGGCTGCGGTAAGACATGACCAATAATCCGGAAATCTTGACTGATTCATATTCATAATGATAATGATGGCCATGAACGAGGACTTGATAATGACATTATCTCGCTGAAGAGCGGAATTCAGCTGACAGATAATTATTGTTAAGATCAGGGCAGCAGATCGAGGCTTCTTAGTCGTTAACGACGTCTCCAAACATTGACCACTTGCTTTCCTGTGTTAATGCCCACCTCTTTCGGTCTCTGCGTCTAATTTGCAGTGCCCGCATGATTTTCTGTACTCCTCTTAGAGTTTCTGATTTTGAACTTTCCATTTGATCTGAAACGTGGAATAACGGCCGAGCATTCTAACTCCGTCACAAGGAAGCCAACATTATCTACTTTCCAGACACATCCGAAGTTATCCACCAGAGTCAAGATTGCACTATCAGTGTGAAGGGTTAACACTTGCATCACCTGTATCACCTGCCGTCCGTTGGTTTCTCGAGTGAGTGTCGTAACATTTCGTCCTTGTTGCGAGCCAGATTAGTCTATTAGATGGTGCTTGCTCGAGGTATACGACAACAAGGTTTGGAGGATTTCTTCCGTTCAGTGTTTTCGTGATGAATTTGGAATCGCGCTGGCTTTCGTACTGATGTTCGATCAGCGTGATTTCAGTTGGCTCTTAGACCAGACCCAGTAGTTTCGCCTTTCACAGCTCCCTATCGGCCCTAACTAACTGATATCATTCTTATCCTTGCCGTTAGCGTTCGGATCTTATCGGCTGTATCCTTTCAAAACTTTAACACTCTAGACTCAAGGGAGGAGGTGTGACTTCTCCTCATAGTCTCACCCACCTAAACACATACGCACACCAGCACACACATGCCGAAACACACAAATATCAACAGTCATACTTGACGAGTTACAGTGTAGGATACTGCAATCCCAGCCTTCTTGCAAGAATGTGAGAAAAATTGTGATAGTCAACAAAACCCACTTTCTTCGGGTTGTGACCAGGCTTGTGAAAGCTGAGAAGTTCTGGAGACAGAGGATCGAAAACTTTGAGAGGGCAGGTGTCGAGAACAGTAGCATCATCATCAAAAGTGAATGCTCGGCCTCGCGTCTGTCGTCCATATGCTGAATGTATATGTGACTACTACATGGTACAGGATGGAACGCTCGCTTCCTCTCTTTCGAACTTCCAAACGATGAAGAATTTTGTGCAGACAAAGCTAGTACATACAATGGCTCAATGTTCGCTGTACAATAGACATGCAATGCTAATGAATCATTGGTTCAGCACTCAGTTGCGACTTTTCGCCATCAAATGTTACGTCACAGAAACTGACGTGGAGACAATAAAGGCTCGGCGAACGTAGTAGTGGCTCGAACAATCAGCGTGAGCGTGGCTCACAAAAGCTCTATGTCGGGAACACTCCAGTCAGTAAGATCCCTGATGGGTTGCAAATCGTGAAGTGGTTTCCTACGTAGAACTTTTTGTCAGAAGCCGACAGACGAGNTTTCGGTGCCACTTAAGAAAAAGATCATTCTAGGGTTGCATCCAAATATAACTACTACCACGCTGAAAGTAATTACTTCAAAGATTTTGCCATTCTCAGATCAATTCAGTCTCAACAGAATTAATCATCGCTCACAATTAGACTCATTCTCTTCGGTTGGGAAGCATAACACGAGGCCATTTAAACCAATTATGAAATATTTCGATGGTCT